AAAGCAGGCCTATTTCAAATGGATCCAAAGGGGGCAGGCGGTGAGGTGGGCCGACTCCACCTGCGTCCACCGGTTTTCCCAGGGCACTTGGTGGCGCTGTGCGTCACTCTGCTTCGCAGTGACCCACACGCCAGGAGCCGGCACCAGCGCCATCAGGACACAGCACAGGCTGTCACGCTGTGGATGCTGAGCACGTCCAAGCTTGGGGGCACCTCGGCCAGCGCTGTTGCTGTGGTGAGCCATCAGTTGTCTGCTGGCCAGGGACCCGCTGTAGGTCACCAGGCTTTTTCTTCCTAGTCTTAGTCGGGAAGCACCGCCGAAACCTGCCCTCCACGGGGACCCTGCTGGTGTTTGACACAACGCTGACCTAACTCCCAGTGCCACAGACACACACCAGCTGCCGGGGCCGGATGCGGGGCGCGGGCAAGCTTTGATGTTGTGGCTGTGTCTGCCAGAGGGACCCTCCCTGGATGAACTCCCCTGTCGTGTCCTGTCATCCCGGACGGGAGCCAGGCCCTCCCGGGCTCCCAGAGTCACCCTCTGTCCACATCACGCGTACGTGGACCTGGAGCAGCTCCCATTCCGTGATTCCCGGCCCTGTCTGCTGTGAGTGATGGCGGCAGCCAGCAGCGGCTCAGCAAGTACGGTTTCTTTTGCTCATGTGCTTAGCTGTTCAGCTGCGGGATTGGAGAACCCCGCCCAATGAAACACACACACACACACCACCCCCCACCCCCTGACACCATCCTCACCAGTGAAAGCGCACACACACACCCCTGACACCATTCCACTGCACTGCTATTGGTAAGGTCTTCCACGGCTTCTGAAACATGTTCACTTTGGGGGACCCTGCTGGCCCACCGGTAGACGAGGGGCGGGCATGGAAACAGGAAGACCCTCGGGAGGTGGCCTGTCCCAGTGGCCGCACAGCACTCAAGCAGCAACGGCGAGGAGGAGGAGGAGGACGAGGACGGCAGAGGGCTGGGCTGGGTTGCCTCCTGCTGTGCTGCCGAAGGCCACCTTATATACATGTGGACATGTACGCGTGAGTTCATGGGAAAAGAAGTAGAAGACCGTGGATTTTGCTCACAAACTTCTGAGCG